GTTATTAATTCATATGTATTTTTATCCGAAAGTATCAATTCCATCTTGGATATGTACTCTAATTTATTTTGAGCAACGGTGACATTATCAGCTTTGGAAATTAATATTTCAGGATGATCTTTTACAAATTTCGTTGTCCTGACCCAATCGCACAACAACTTGTCATTCGAGCCGTTCTTAGAAAAATCATTCCGAAACTTATCAATAATTGAAACACTATTATTTCTAACAAAGTTAATTATATTCTTCCGACGGCCAATAATATTATTCTCAATATTTTTAATAAATTCTATCAATGTTCTATCCAAATTATGTTTGTTAATAGGAAGACCAAAGCCTTCTCCCAACTGAAGCAAACATTGGACCTCTAAAGGAATGTCAACATTGCTCAAATTCAGAAACCATTTATCATTTAAAACATCTAGAGGAGCCGCATCTCCAAACAATTCAGCCGAAATGTGAATCCTTTCAATATTCTGTACATCAATGCCATTGTTAACCTTGTTAGGTGTAATTTTATTAAGCAATTCATTATTCGAAGCAGTAAGATATCGGCTTAATATTTGCTTTTTTATCTTTAAAATCTTTTCCTTTCAACCATAAAATCTTCTTGTCAATATTTCTTGTATGTTGAAAAAAGTAAAAATTATTAATGTTATCTAAATATTTGAAAAACTCACAAACCATGGAAACCGGTAAAACCTGGTAGATTTTAATGGAAAAATCAACAATGCTCATTCTAATATTATATTAGGTGTTGGAATTAATTCGTAGCGTTTTACAAGTGATGGGAAGTACTTTCATTAATGTATTTTTTAATGCTCATGTGAAATAAATAACATTCTTTCATTAAAAAACGCTACGAATTAATTCCAACACCTAATAAAATGCAAATGTCTGTAAGAATCCTTCAACTCCAATTGCAAAATTGCTTTCACATTGTTAAACTGAATTTTCTGAAGTCTTCTGTAAGAAAGACTATTAAACAAATTAAAATTTCTAATATTAGTATATCTTTTAAGATGTGGCTAAATTTGTGATTAATACATGATTTCAAGAATCTAATGCGAGTTCTAATATTAACGCTATATTTAATTAGGTTACAAAATTCTTTCAAAAATTTACAAGCATCAAAGCCATATTCATATCGGATATAAGCAAAAGAGAAATTAAAATATTTATGAAATTTACGCATTATTTCGCCCGCGTATATAAAATTAAAAGTAATAAAAAAGGCTCTGTACTAATAAGCAAAAGGTAGTATAAAAGAAGGGCAAAGAGCCAATGACGTATATAAAAAAATTATAATTTAGATAAGCAAACTTAATACAAAAACAATTAAAATACAATAAAACAAATGTTTCAACTCCAATTGAGTCATTTTCAATGCCATCATACAGTAATATAAATGTCGTTCTAAATTAAAAATTCGTACATAATCTTACAATATTCTTACAATTC